ATTTTTATTACCAAAGATTTTATTTTTTGTGTTAAGTAAACCATCTTGACATTTTTGAAAGTATGCAAACCTCCTCCTAGAAGTATTTCATCTTGTATTGTTGCAGTAGGCAAGAGTTGCCATCTTTAGGCAAGGTGGAGAATATGTAGAAAAGAAAAGCTCCATCCAAGTAAATGTGATGTATCTGTGTAAGTACTTGAGACAGTTTTGCTGACAGTGTTCCAAATATTTTTGGGAGCATGAAGTTTCAGCTGTTGCAAGATTTATTTGTATACTCTGAACCAATAGAGCCTTTGTATAAGTCAAAACTTTGGAGAGTATTGTCCTTTAAAATGTTTCACATTTATTTAAAACTCTGCTAAAATATACTGCATTTTAAGCAGCTTCATGACATGAAATGTTCTTCCTAAAAAACAAAACAAAAAACCAAAACCCACACACTGTTTTCATGCCAAAATGTTTTGGAAGCCTGCATCTGGGTTTATAATAGAAGAGTCAGCTGCATCTTACTGCTGATAGTTTTCTGCCATTTCACAGATAAAAAACAAGAAAATGCACAATGGCGCACAACTCTGGCTGGATGCTAAACACCCACCAATGCCACTCTCTCACTCCCCTCTGCAACTGGACAGGCGAGAGAAAATATAATGAAGATTGATGAGTTGAGATAAGGACCTGGAGAGATCGGTCACCAAATACTGGTGTGGGCAAAACAGGCTGGAATTAGAGATACTAATTGAATTTACTATTTACAGAATCAGAGCAGTATAAAGAGAAGTAATGTGAGACCTTATAAACACCTTCCCCCACCCCTCATTTCTTCTCAGCTCTAGCTCTTCCCCCTCAGTGGCAGAGGAAGATGGAATGGGTTTTAGGTCAGTTCATTGCATGCTGTTTCTGCTGCTGTTCCAGCATGGTATCCCTCCCATGGGAGACAATTCTTCATGAACTTCTCCAACTGGAGCCCATCCCATGGGGAACAATCAACCACAAACTGCTGCTATGTGGGCCACTCTTTCATGGGGTGCAGTCCTTCAAGGGCAGGCTGCTCCAGGGTGGGTCCCCATGGGGTCACAAATCCTACCAGGAAACTTGTGCTGGCATGGGCTTCTTCCTCCATGGGTCTGCAGATCTTTGCCACGACTCTGTTCTGTCATGGGCCTACCACAGGTTCACAGCTTCCTTTCAGGCATCCACCTGCTCTGGTGTGGGGTTCCTCCAGAGGCTGCAGGTGGATCTCTGCATCCCCCTGGACTTCCATGGGCTGCAGGGGCACAGCTGCCTCACCATGGTCTGCACCACCAGCTGCAGAGGAATCTCAGCATTGCTCAGCACAATGGAGCACTTTCTCCCCTTCCTCCTCCACTGACTTTGGTTTCTGCAGAGTTGTTCCTCTCAATGTTCTCAATCTGCTCTTCTCTGGCTGTAGCTGCATCTGCACAATAACTTCTTTATTTTCTTCTTAAATATGTTATCACAAAGGTGTTACCACCATTTCTGATTGGCCCAGCCTTGACCAGTGGAGCACTTTTGCTGTCCAATTGACACTAATTCTCTGAATAAACTAAAAATGTACAGAAGTTGTCTGTTGGGAGCATAAACAAATAGAGATCATGATTTTTTTCTGCCTGAGGATGTGGAGGTTTTACGTTCCAAGTCAACAAACTGTTGTGTGGAGTTGGCTTATTTCAGGGCTGTGATCACAGTTCTTTTTTTTCCATTAGGACATGATTGTTCCTGGCACAATTATGGTGACATGATACAGGAGACAGTGCAAACACAGGGTAAAAATCAGCATGTGCTGTCACAACTTTGCAGTCTGAACAGACAAAACACAGAGAAACTGAAGGCACAGAAAGGTGAAAAGACCTGTTGAAGGTGGAGCAAGAAGGTGGAGCAACTATGTCTTAAGTTGCAAGCTGAGTACAAACCTGAGACCAGATTGTAGGTTTATTTAATCTCCCAGGTTTTGTAATTTCACCCAAATTAATGAAAAATTAAACATTCCTATCAGCTGCTGTGTGCTGAATAACAGCTGAAAGAATTATCTTCTGGGGAATTAGCTTTACAACAGTGGTTAAATCAATTTTGGAATGTTGATAAAAATTTGAGAGAGGGGGGCTGGATCAGGTGTTGCTTTACTAATTCTTAGCCTGGCTAGCTCTCCCCATCATCACATTTATCCCAGCTGGGATAAAACTCAGACAGATATATACACCTCTTATCTAAAGCCATGAGATCACAGAAATGTCATAGCTTGATAAAACTAACAGTATGGATTGGTTTAGAACCAAATTTGCATTATAAACTTAACTATTCTGTCTGTGAAGCAGAGCTGGAAAACTCTCTAAATTTGTCTTGTCCCTAGAGTTTACCATAAATATTTCTGCTATTTTGGACAGAAGATCCAATAGCAAATCCATCTTAGCACCATTTAATAGTTGCCCATGTCCAGTGCTGTGGCAGTATTTTGCCCAAGATGAGTAAATATCTAAGGATATGCATAGAAGTCCTAATGTAAATAAGAAATAAGTCCTAGAACTATTATTATGTATGATTATAAACTGAGATTATGCCCAGAATGAACACAGAGTCGAGAGCTCATGTGCCTTTTAACCCAGATGTACTCTGTGGTGAGCAGTGCAGACTGTAAGCCTGGGCACAAGAGTGCCACAGTCTAAATGTTCTCCCAGCTGATTAAACCAATGTTACTATAGGATATATACTGGCTATATTTTAATAATTTGTGTAATATGGTCTTGAGACAAGATTGAGTAAGCTCTCTTGAGTGGATTGAGTAAGCTCTCCACGCAATATTTCCCATTTATGTGGTTTCACACATAAAACATTTTATTTTTTCATTTTTCTCTTTCTTTTTTAGTTTTTCACAGTGTGACTTTGAAGTGTTTTAATTTTAGTAATACTTTGCCAGTTTATCTTATTATATTAATGCTTCTGCTTTTCTTTTTTTGAAATTATTATGTCAAAGGATTTAACTTGCATTGTGAGGATATGAGCCTTTTTTGTGAAAATGGACACCTTAATAGGTGATAGATTACGCATAAAATATGACTGGAGCAACTAAGAACTTGTTAGAAGCCAGAAAAAGCTAATTCAGGGACTTTTTCATGATGATTTTTTGCTGATGTATAGAAGAGCTTGTCAGAAATATGTATGGACTTGATATCCTGCTTCTGGCCACATTGTGATCAGGAGTCAGTGACACATATCCTTTTCAAAGAAGATGTTCATTAGTTTGATTGAAATTCTAAGTCTTTTGCGACCTCAGACTCGCAGTTGTGTACAGACAGAAGGGCTTGGCTATGCTGCTGGAAGAGGGGAGAAAATGACTGTGCTTGTGTTGGGCAATTCATAGTTCAGGGGGAGTTGCCTGTGCCATTAGAGCCAGAAGTGTTCCAGTAACCTGTGCTGCCTGTGATTCTCATACAAATGAGCTCAGGCTGTTTTTGTGCCGGGCTGGGGCTCAGTGATTGTGTTTTACCCAGCACATGGACTGTCCTGTTGAGCCAGGGAGCTGAAGCATGGGCACATGCTGAAAAGAGGATTGCTGCCCGGAGCGCCGGCAGCCGAGCGGGGAGCAGCAGGCGCGCAGGCAGCGGCACTCGGCTGCTTTTCAACACAACTGACCCAGATTTCCCTGTTGGAGCAGGCTGGGCTGGGCTGGTGTGAACCCTGGGCCATGTGGCTTACTTGTGGAAAGCAGACTGGAGTGTTCCTTCTCAAGAACAACCAACACAGCTACAGCTGCAATTTTATACTTGCAGTGCATAGCTCCTTGACAGAGCATCAGCCTGTCCTCCTGTTTCACCTTCTGGCCATTAAAGAGTCAGATTTTGGCTGTAAACAGACTTTTCCTAAAGAATTTTATGGGCCAAATAGAGAATTTCATGGGGTAAAAAGCAGCTACTGTTCCCACAGGAAATTCTGTGTGCTTTGCAAGTGTCTGTATCTAAATATTCTTTGTCTGAACAAGAACGGTCAGTTCCTAGCCTATCCTTCACCAGACAGTGATTATTCATCAGTACTTGTCCACTTGAGACATCTCATTTAAAACTCACACCAATTGTTTCCCTATTTTGTCTTTTTATCAACTTCATTATGTACAATTTTAAAGTACCTGACATTTCTTATCAGTAAAATTCTAAGTTTATTAGAGAAGGGATAGCATTTCTTCTGCAATGAGAAAAGAAATTAGTCAAAACTGATATATTTAAGGAATCTTAAGAAAACTAGGTTTCCCAAACTTGATAAGTTGCAGTAAGACTTGCACATTTTATCTTAAAATCCCAGCCTAAAAATACACCCATGTGACCTCTGAGAAACTGCCTAAAGCCAGTGGTAAGAATTTATCTTGACAGATAACCAACATCTTCGTATAGTATGAAAGGAAACTAACTATCTCCTTCTACTCACTTGTACTTTCTGGGAAAAAAATGCCATAAATGGAAAGGGAATATTTTAAAATTCACAGCAGTTTTCACAGGAGAGAAGGACCATTTTTTTACTAATATTCCAATGAAAATGTGCATGATCCATGTTTATTTTAGGTGATTTGTAGGGGAATTTTCTCTTCAGGTACTTGTTATTTCAAAATCCAAAAAGTAATATTTAATTTGTATTTATCTAAGTATTTTACATAATTTCTTCAGGTACTTACATACTTGTAAGTATTATATTTTATATTATTTGCAGTCTTTCTATGCTTACAGCCCCACTCAGACCTAAGATGTGCAGAAATTAGTGTCAGAAAATTATTGTGTGTTGTAGGATGACCATATAGTATTCATCTGGGAATTACCTGAAATACTTCACAATGTTGTTTAAATACCCAGAGCCCCACAACTATGAAAATTAATCCTAGTTAATTTGGGAATCTATTTGGTCTCTGTACATCAGACATCTTGGCATATTATGCTTTCAGAGCTTTTACTGTAATTCCTAGGCTACATAAATATAATTTTTTTTTCTTCTCTCCTCAGAAATTTTTCCAAGAGATTCCAGTCTAAAAGACAAGTTCATAAAACATTTTACAGGTAAGGCAGCTGCTTGTATTTTCCACATGTGCATACTCTAAGTACCTATAAATGTCTCACTACTAATTTTTTTGAGGCTCAACATTTCTGAGGCTAACATTTCTGAAGTTAAGTATACATATTTTAGAAGTAAACAGTTTTGAAGAATTCTAATTTCATTGAATAATCAACTGAACTATCTGGTCTAAAATAACTTTGAAAATATGGTAAGTTAAAACATTATTTAAAAGTCACTGTTAAACTTTTATCCTCCTATTGTGCTTTCCATATTTATTTTCACATTCACTAATTTTAGAACTTCTCATTGGACTGCACATATTTTTAAGAAAGAGACCTTTGTGGCCAACTAAGTTTTCACCAAATCAGGGAAGATTTTTTCATCTGTCTTATGATGTCTGCATGTGGATACTTATTTTAATAGTGGAAACAGATAGAACAAGGAAGAACTAAATTAATGTAAAAGAAAAATAAAAATAACTTGCTGTTTCAAGTATGAAAGTTTATGATGATTACAACATTACGATTATAATGCACTTTGGGACTGTATTGTAACTACTGAGAAAAATATTGTACCCTCTGAATATATGCAGTAAAAGTTGCTAATGACGAGGTGCTTGCACTTATTCTTTGCTCTCCAGTTCCAGCTTTCTGTAACTCAGAAAAGTGAAGGTCTCAAAGTATGACATTGCAAATCTCACGGTGATTTTCAGGGTTATTTGAAGTATTGAAACTAAAAGCTGGAGAAATGGTTGGACATCAGAGCATGAAAAAGATAATTGGAAATAATTATTCATTTCCTCTTTGCTGGAAATTTCAGGCAGTGCTTGAGAATAAAGGAAGGTATTTGTTGTCTCTTTTGCATGGGGGAAGTGTATTCCAGCCCTTGGGATAAGCACAACTTTCAGGATCTTTCTGCCAGTCGCTCACTGAAACCCAACGGAATCTACAGGAAATGTGCCAGAGCCAGCTGGCCCTTCACCCTTGCAGTAAACAAGAGTAATTGTGAACATGATCATTTTCAGTCCATATGAGAAAGAAATTAGCATAGAGCTTCAAACTATGCCATGTGACAGTGCAACACTGAATAGTCCTCTCCTGGGAAGGACAGACAAGAGAGATTTGTTTATGTTAGTACTTAATCAATTTCTTTTTCATTTTTAGCTTTGGAAACTTTATGCTTTAGGCTACCATAAAAAGCTCAACATAAGAATTTGGGGAAGCTAAGTAATGAATACAGAATGAGTTTCATTACTCAAAACCAGGGAAAAACAACCATGAGTTTTACAGAAGTTATTGTGACAGTAGTAAATCATAGAAAAGAAAAAGAGGAAAAAACCCCCTTGAAAAATCGTCTCTAGACCTATCCATTAAAATAATAGTCGTTTTCTGCATGAGTAGTTGCCATCAAAATTGCTGAAATTACTTGAGTAAGATTAGCTGGAATTAATGAGGAACGCAGGATCACTCCAAAATACTGAAAGTTTATTTGTTGGCTCAGAATTTCTGCCAACAGTAAACTTTCTTTCCTTCTTTCCTTCTTTCTTTCTTTCTCTCT